TTAAAATACAACATAACATAAGTCCAGTGTAACACTGGGTCAAACAAATCCAGATTTTTTCCCCCTAAATTATTATAAAACTGTGTGGCAATCTATTTTTGCTCATTTTCAAGTAAACCCTTAAGTTTTCTCTGCCAGTCTTCAACACATGTGTTTATTGTGGCTCTTGAGCAGGGTTCAGGATGCTGGAAGATCTTGAGGAGATCAGATTTTATATTGAGTTGATGTGCTATAGGGTCACTGGAGGCCATGCTGGATAACTCTTGCTCCCTGGTCCGCTGAGCAAAATATGGGACAGTATTGCTACAAATGATGTCTTGTCTAGCATGTAACAACCTGCGGATCTCGTGAATCACAACCATTGCTTTGTCCTCCCTTCTATCTTTCTCAATGCTTCTCCTCAAGCAATCCATTTCATTTCTTATTCTCCTGTGCGTGAACCATTCTGTAAAGAAGCAAAGAATATGCAGAAAGCTGATAGACTTTCTTTACATATAAAGAAAAGTTGAAATGACTTGCGTTCTAGAAGATTTGAGCCAATGTTTTTGTGCCAGAAATAACCACAAAATGCAATGCTTACGGTACAATGCTAAGCCAGACAGTGAAATCAGCAGAGGCCAGTTCCAGTTACATTTATCATCTCCACCATTTCCAGCTGCTCTAATATTCATTTGATCCCTTCGGGCATTCAGATCATTCATTTTGACTGAATTGAAAATGAAAACAAGTCAGAAGAGAACAACATCAGCTTTTATTTTAACATGCTCACGAACGTCAAAACACTTTCACTTTCAGATTTCACTGCAAGCAACTTCTCGCAACATGTTCCTACACATTAGGTGTGGCTTTTTGTCTTTACCCAACTCATATTGGTATGCATACTGTATATATATATATTTTTTTTTTAATTAAATTTTTATTTTTTTTTTATCTTAGACTTCAATTCTTTCAGGCCTTCATATAAGATATAAGATTACCTTACCTTCCCTTTAAGGATCAAAACAGACTGCCAGATATAATGCTGTGATTCCTCGTGAATCTTTTCATGGCTTTTGACCTTGAACTGTTTATTCAGTGCTGGTTAAACCGGTTCCTCAAATGCAAAGCTTATTTAAATCCCCACCCCTCATGTCTTTTTGGAGACATGAGCTGACCTGATTTTATTTGTTAAAGAATGTTTTGCAGTGCATTGCTTATAATTAAGTGAGGGATTTTGTTTCTTTTAATTTAAGTGGTTCTTTCTTCTTTTCTTTGCATTTCACCTCTTACAATAAACCCGGCGTTGTGCATTGCTATGTTGTCGTCTCCATGACAAACTGTGTATGTAGCTCTGTTTTATGTGTCACCTTTTATAAAAGAGTCTAGATGGATAAATGTAAATGTAAATTAAATCTGTGATAAACATATAGCACCCTCTGAATATAAAATGTGAGAATTTCCATCCACATCAGGAAAAGGTCACATTGAGATCATCATGCCAACAGTGACATAATTATATAAGATGAGGTACATGGATGAGTATTGTAAATGTTTGGTTAAAAATTCAAATGCTCACTACTTGAGCCCTAAAAACATATTTTACTACAATTAAATATTTGGTATGTTATTGTGTACACTGCATTGACATACTGTATGTACACATTTGAATGTGCTCTTCCCACAAAGAAACCAGTATAACAAAATTGAATCTCATTAACTTTATTGACAATGGGGTCTTTAAAAATACATAATTTTAGTGATATAGATTCATTTCTGCTCTCCCAGTGTCATTTTTTTGTCTGAATGCCGAGTATAGCCGCCTCGGCTCTCTGGTGTGACTGAAGAGTGAGCTGCAGCCGCCAGTATCTG